GTGTCTCTGGGGCTGCTGGGGCTGCTGGGGCTGCTGGGGCTCCTGGGGCTGCTGGGGCTCCTGGGGCTCCTGGGGCTGGGGCTGGGGCTGGTCCAGCCTCACTGCATCAGACCTTCCTTCCTGGGTCCTTCTGTCTCTAGTGCCCTGAGCGAAGGCTTGGCTCAGTTGCTCTCACCCTCCTGGATTTTTGATAAATCCATTCAAAGACCTGGATTTCTCTTCACTTGCTACCTTGGGCAGGACCCACAAATGGCCTATGTTTTACTTCTTGTCATTAGTTCAAAGTATCTCATAATTTTCCTATTATTTGATCCAAGTTGTTCCCTGATGCTCATTCCTTTATGACAACAGAAGTCATGTGACCACCAGAAAAAAACAAGGTCACCCACAGCCACCTGCCAGAATGCTCTGAACCACACAGGTCACTGCAGGCTCTGAAGGGGTGGACCCAAGCAATAGAGCTCCCAGGGATCCCGACAACCAGCCACGCCTCAGGAAAGGCAGTGTAACCTGGAAGATGTACAGGTGGGGAATGCAGTTCACTGTCGATGAATGGAGTTCAGAAGGATCGAGAGAGGGAGATAGAGAAGATTCATGCACAGGTGAATTTCTGCACAGATGAACTGAAACAAGAAAACAGAAAAAATCATGTCAGGAATTCAGGACACTTGTCAGAAGTAAAAGCAGTCTTTCATCTGCAGTTGGAGAGGAGGGACATGTCCAGCACTGGCTCTGGGAAGCATCCTAAATGAAATTACTGGACTTCCAGGTAAAGGCAGGAATTTGGGCAGATAAGAAAAACAGAGGTCAAGTTGCGTGTAAGGACAAAAGTGAGTCTTTCCTCAGATTTCCCCATGGAAACCCCTGAAGCCAAAGAGGGTGAGAGGAGACCCCTCCCACTAGGCCCATGCAGGGCAGGCTGCAGCCTCGGAGGGAACCTGCCCGGAGTTAGAGCTGTGGAGTCTGAGCCTCCTAAAGGAGGCAGCTGACACAAATGCCAGCAAGGGAAGAGGTGATGGAAAAGCCATTTAAAGCAAAAGACAGGACCAAGGATGAATTTACAACTGGAAAGAGAACAGAGCAAGTGTGGATATCAGGAAATATAACACTGCAGGAAAAGTGAAAAACCCTGACAGGACGCAGGGTGGGCGAGACCTCACGACAGGGAGCCAGGAGCTGGAGGAAGAGGCACGCAGCTGCCTAGGTGCGGAAGAGTCTCGCTTGTTCACAGAGAGCTCCACACTGAGGAGGCCTTTGCATGGAGAGGAAGGGAACAGACCAGCACTGCAGACCCTGGAGGAAGAGCGTCCCCTTGGGCAGAGCGGCAAGTGTGGCTCCAGGTGGCATGTGGGCCCCTGTGATGTGCTGCAGGGACGCAGGGAGGCCCTGGGGCTGCAGCAGAGGCTGGACAGGAAGGGATTGCAGCAGGCACAGGTAGGGCTGGGTCCAGCTGTCCAGGGTGGAGGCAACTCCCTTGGGCCAGGCCCAGACCCTCCAGTGGTCAGAGCAGGTGGGGGACATTCTGACCATGCCAGAGACCAGAAGGGGCAGACAGGGAGGGGGACTCTGGAGCCCCTTCCTCAGTCACAACTGTTCCTGTGCTTAGGGGGAGCCAAACTGAGGGTTGGGCTGGGCAAAGGCCTTCTCTGGCCAAAGACAGGGCCCTCCAGTCCAGGACAGACTGACTGTCCTGCCTTGCCTTCTGCAGAGACCTCGGCACCTCTTTGAGCCACCTGCAGGTGCTATGGCTAGCTCGCTGTGGCCTGACAGACCTGGATGGCATTGGCTCCTTCCCTGTGCTAAAGGTGGGTCTGCAGCATCTGGGGTGGGGTTGGGCCCGAGTCAGACCCAGCTGAAGTCCCCACACCAACCCAGGAACTCTACGTCTCCTACAATGACGTCTCGGACCTGAGCCCGCTGTGCCTGCTGGAGCAGCTGGAGGTGCTAGACCTGGAAGGCAACAGCGTGGAGGACCTGGGGCAGGTGTGCAGCCTGCGGCTGTGCCCGCAGCTCACCACACTCACCCTGGAGGGCAACCCGGTGTGCCTGCAGCCAGCCCCTGGACACTCCAACAAGGTGTGCGTGCTGGGAGGGGCCCACGGGCCAAGGGCCTCTGTGTCCACTGCATGCCAGGGCTTCTTTACCATGAGCTCCACCTTTTCTATCACTGGAGGCCTGAGTGCGGCCAGGCTACCTCCTGAGCCATTGCACCAGACCCCACGAGGATCACACGTGCATGTGCCGTGCCACCCAACCCATGCCCACAGCCTGGGGGGTACGCACACAGGTCACAAGGAGCCACCCAGACCACACCAGGAGGGCGTGCACTCACATAATGGGCCTGTGTGTGCTCTGCGTGAGACTGCCACATACACACCACAGGCCTGGGGAGCACTGGACCCTCAGGCCCTGACCCCACGCTGCCCATCCCAACAACTGCCACTTGGTGGTGCTACTTGCTGGGACCAGAATCCAGCCAGTGCACAGTGGCTGCTCAACTGAATCAGAAACCTGAGCCCAGGGCAGCTTGGTGGGCCAGAAAGCATTGCTGGACTCTGGCATGGGTCTGGAGAGTGAAGTCACATCCTGGATAGGCGAGAACTCAGTTGCTGTTGTCCCTAGGGTCCAGCAGGGTCACCCTGACCCCTCTGTCCTGCCCCACAGGGATCTGGGGCTCTAGGACACAAGTGGCCTAAAGGGCCTATGGACCCACGCCTGAGGTCCCCTCCCTCTATACTGTAGGTACCCCAGGATTACAACTACAGGGTGGAGGTGAGGAAGCTCCTCCCCCAGCTACAAGTGCTAGATGAGGTGTCCACCATGCACACTGACCTGCCTGCCACCCAGGAGCTGAGCCAGGACTGGCTCATAGTGAAGGAGGCCATCAAGGAAGGCCGAGTGCTGGACAGTTTCCTCCCCCGACAAGGTAGAGCAGATACCCCCTGGAATCCTTGCCCTGTGCCGCAGTACCCCACTCCAGGAGAGGCCTCCCCTAGACCCCAGGCCTCTCAGAGGTGGATAGCTGCACCTTGTGCCCTCCCCCAGCCTTAACCCCTGGCCCCCAGAACATGCACATGGGCCTCCAGGCCAGGATGCTGTCCCTTTGGTCAATACCAGTGGGCCTCTCTATTTATCAGAGAGGGAGGAGGGTCTGAGTTTGAAGGAAGGGACCATCAGAGGCCAGCCTTCGGGCTCACAGATTCTTAGGGGTGAGAGCTGTGTTCTGTGGGCTGGGGCTGGCCAGCTGGCATGGCCCTAGTGACCGCTGTTTCTGACCTTGGGCAGATGTTTCCCATGGAGCCATTATCCGGAGACTTGATCCAGCATTCTCCCTACCTGAGACCCAGCCCTGGGCCCTGTCCCTGCTGGTCCCTGGGGGCGTCCTGCCTGAACGCCTGCTTCCCAAGGACATGGCCCCAGAAGACCACACCAGCAACCTCACTCATGGTAACTGACCCACCTTGGCCTGACCCCACATCCCCCTGACCCCAAAGCAGACCCATCACATGCCCCCTCCTCCAGGTGCTGGCCAAGTCCTCTGCGGGAACCCCACCAAAGGCCTGTGGGAACGCAGGCGTCAGAACCAGGTACACCTTCCACCCTTCAAAGTGGGTGGGGACCGTCCCACCATGTACCAGCATCCAGAGTCCCTCCCCCACACAATGGACCATGACACAGAGCCCCTCCTGCACTAGGCACCAGGGTCCAGGGCTCCTGGTGTGTAATACCCCTGGCTACTGCCAGTCCCAGGCCAGGGTTCCCAAACCAGCTCTTTTCTTCCTCAGGACTGGGCACCCTGGGAACAGCTACCTCCATACAAGTCAAGTCTGGCCACCAGCCCCTCCACCCCAGGGCCTGGCCCTGCAGACACCTGTGACCTCCTAACCATGGCGGGGCTTCAGGCCTGGAGGGAGCTTGGCCTGTGGTAGGTGCTCCTCCCCTGCCCAGTCCTCTCAACTGGGCACCCTTTCTGTTGTGGGGCTGGGGCTGGGGCTGGGGCTGGGGCTTGGGCTGAACCCCAGATGATCTGAGTTGGTCACAGAACCCTGAGGCTGCTGGACCATCTCACTCCCACACCCTCTGGAATTGGGCCCAAGAGGGGCTGTAGCTTCCCTCTCTCCCTCCCTCAGTCCCCAGCCCCACAGGCAGATGGAGTCCCAGCAGGAAGGGGCTGCAGCCCCCCAGGACCCATGGAGGGCCCCTGAAGAGCAAGAGGACCAGACTGGACCCAAGACTGTCCCTAGTCCCATGAGCCTGGCCTCAGGTACTTTCCCCACAGGTGGGTGATCCACTTGTCAGGTGCTGCCCACCTGGGGACAGGAGCCCCAAACCTCAAGATCAGCCTGTGTAGGTATGGCCCATTCCTCAGCTGGGCTCTGGGAGGCCACTGGACCTCAAGGCTGCCTGGGCTGGATGAGAGAAAGTCCTTCCATAAGGGGTGTGGACCAAGTCCAAAGGAGTCTGCATACCAGGTGGGGACACAGATGAGCCAGGGCCATCTACAAGCAGATGTACCACTGGACATGCCCAGTTCTTATGGGCGTGAACAAAAGGCCAGGAGTGGGAGAGAGGCCCCCAGGCCCCCTGGGAGACCAAGGCAGGGAAGGACCCCCACCTCACCCCAGACAGGACCCATGCTGGGCTGAGGACATGCCGAGTCAAGCCAGGCAGTGCTCTGGCAGAGGGACCCTGGATTCAGAGTGCCCAAGACCAAAGCAGAAAGGCCCTAAACCCAGATCAGCAGGCAGACCTAAGGAGGGACAGGCAGGGGCAACAGGAGCAGAGACTTAAAGGTCAGCAGAGCAACTCTCAGGGTAGGGGACAGGCTGCCCTCCATGGGCAGGGGTTGATACCCAGGCAGGGTGCCTGAGATAGCCAGGAGGGAACCACAGCTGACCACCCAGTGGACAAGGACTGCAGGGCTTTAAGGAAGGCAAGCAGGGTGGCCAGAAGGAAGGGTAGCTGGAGTATGAAGTAGGGGCAATATGGGACAGTGCCAGGTCCAGGTGGGCACTGGGTGACCCTTGACTCCTGCCTCACGCTACCACAGAAGATTAGGAACTGGCCTGAGGTCATTAGCCTGTGAGCCGAGCCTCAGGAATTAGACCCAGATGACCCAAAGCCAGACTCCAGGCTTTGTGGCCTCTTTGCCTGCCTTAGAGGGCTGGTCTAAGCAAGATGGCTGGGGGACAGAGCTTCCCTGAGGAGCACAGGAAATACGGCAGAAGGGGTGGCATGCGAGGCAGGCCTCCCCCAGCAGGCCCCACCTACCTACCTGGACTGCAGGACCACAGACAGGTTAGCCTACTTGTCTGACAGGGCCTCGCTGACGGGCTGCCTTGTTTCTTGCTTTCTAGAGCATTCCAGAACCGTGGGCTTTCACCTGATCCCTTCTGCTCCCAAGTGCCCAAAGCCACCTGACTCTGGAAGCAGCTCCCCCAGGGGGTCTGCAGTCCTGTCTTTCAGAGGGCGAAGGCTCAGAGCACTGGACAGCCTGTGTGGGAGCCCTGGAGGTAACCTCAGGCCTCAGTGCTTGAGCCCAGGGGTACCCAGACCCAAAGCCAACAGGAGACCCTGCAGCCAGACATCCAGGCCTCTGCTACCTGCTCCACCTGAACCCTATCACCCCCACCCACTCCCTCCCTTAGTGTAAGCCCCCACCAACTGCCAGGTTCACCTGGACTGGGGCCAAGGGGTGCCAGTGAGGTCATGGGAGCCCCAGGAGGACTCTGTCTTCATAGACCCTGGAGCATCTAGGCAGGTGTGGGGATGGAGAGTGGGTTTGGCCCTGAAGAGGCCCCTTTTGGTGCAGAGGAACCTGAAGCTGGGACCAGTCAGCAGGTATCAGAGGCCAGAACAGACGTTAGGTCCAGGTAGGGAGAGCCCAAGCTCCCCATCACTGCTCAGCTGCCCACCCTTCCATGGGGCCTAGCCTTCCCAGGAGAAATGGTCAAAGGGGCAGGCCGGGCTAGGCGGCAGGACCTGGAGCTGGGCTCTCCAGGAGCCTCGGGGCTGCGAACCACTCTCTGCACTGATGCAGCCCAGGGCCCTACCTGCTTGCCCTCGGCTGCCATGGGCAAAGCCAGGCCTCCCATCCCTGGTGGATTTGTGGGGTTTCCCTTGAGAAGCTGGGATGTGCAGGTCCCGCCCAAAAAACAGGAGAATCATTTTCGACTTTCAGGTTTACAGAAATGCAGTTTACTTTGTAGGCAACATTGGTTCAATAAATTATGCAGCTGGCACTGCTGCCTGGCCCTGCCGCCTTACACCCGTTGGCATGTGTCCACAGTGATGGGGGGACAGCTGAGGAAACGGAAGCCATATCTACTCTCAGCTGTGCTCTGCACTGAGAGGGTCACCATGGGGCAGCTTCGGTCCACATTTTTCCGGCACACCTGGGGAGCATCAGGGCCTGAAAGCTGTGGGTGTAGGTGTGGGTGGGGAGGAATAGCTGGCATGCCAGTGGGAACCAGTGTCTGCCAGGGACAGCAGGGCACGCACTCACCCGGACCTTGCACTCCTTCCTGGTGGGGCAGTCCTGGGTACACAGCCCAGCCTCTGTTTGGGACAATGGCTATGGGGTCAGCCCAGCCCACTTGCTGCCCACTCACCCCTCCCTCTGGGCTTGCTCACCAGGGATGATGGGAGGCAGGAGCTCCAGAGTCTTAGACTGGTTGTCCTCCGGCAGGTGGAAAGGCCGACAGGTGCTTAGGAGTGGCAAGATATCCCGCATCCTGGGAGGCAAGGGGGTGTGAGGCCACAGCCTGGCAGGAAGAGGCTCATTAAAGGGATTCCAAACCTGGGGAGGTACAGGGGCTTGCAGGGGCCTGCAGGGGCCCTGGTAACTCCTGGGTGGGGGCTGGCGAGGTAGGTGTTGATAATGGAGAGTGCTAGCCCAGGAAGTGGTTCTGGTGGAGGCCAGGCCTAGAAGGCAGAAGGTGGGGTGGGGGTCTCCTGAAGGGGGTCGCGATGGGTTTTGCTGGGACAGGATGGAGGGACTCGCGGTGCCCACCCAGGCCTCCGCCGCCGCCGGGTGCCGGTGTCCCGCACCCGGCTTTTCCCCGGGGGTCGGGGCCGGCTCCGGGGTCCGCTTGTGTCGGTGCAAGGCCGGGCCTTCGAGAGTGGGAAGCGGTCAATGGACCAGTCAGTGTTGTCAGTGAAGATCCTTGAGCCTGAAGTCACACGGTGTGGAGTCTGGTGCTCACCCAGGACCTACGGGGCCAGCAGGGGCAGCTCTGTTACCCTCACCCGCCAGGGCCCACCCAGCCCCTCCTGGGCCTGGGCCGGCACTAACCTGGCCCTCGGGATTCAGGAGGAGCGTCAAGCAGCCCAGGCTGGGGTGGAACAGGCCAGCGTCCTGGCCCAAGGACAAGGGCGCCTGCTTCTTGGTGCTGCTGGTCCCCTGGCCCCACACCTGGGAACGGCAGAGGGCACTGGTTGAGGGGCGCCGCAGGCAATAACAGGGTCATGTGGGCTCACGGACAGAAGGGCCCACCGTGATGTGGTGCTGCGGCGCCAGCAGTGTGCCGGGCGGGAAGCGGTACAGGCACACCGGGAAGCCGCGCTCGAGCTGCTGCAGCAAGAAGCCGTCCAGGTCGACTGTCTGTTCCAGCGACTCATTAAGGATGCGGACGAACTTCTCTCGTCGGCTGACTGCCACGATCTTCAGGCAGCAGCCAGTGGGGCTGGGGCGGGGAGGGGGTGCAGGGCAGGGCCTGATGAACAGGCTCCGTCCACCTGGACAGCTGCCCAGAAGTCCTGTCTGGGCGTCCCCCTCACCTCAGCTGGTGACTGACACGCCGGTGGTCAGGGGCTGTGCAGGGATCCTCGGGAGTCTTGCTGAGCGGTTGTGAGTGGGTTTTCAGGAGATCTAGGGAAAGGAGCCCTTTTGGGGAGGGAAGCCCTCACACGGATGGTCCAATGGGGAATGTGAGGCCAGAGCAGGCCTACAGCAGGTGGGGTCCAAGAGGGAAGGGAGCAGCGCCAGAGGTCAGATCCCTGGCAGGGGAGGTGGCTGGACCCTAGGGACTAAAGGACCTGGTTTAGGGATCTGGAGGAAGATGGGAGAGGGATATAGGACGATGAGAAAGAGATGCACCCCACTCCACCTTCCGAATCTCCGCCAAAGCTCCAAGCCATTGTGGGGATCTGCTCTGAAGATGCCAAATCTTCTGTCTGGGGCGGGTACCCTGATGCCTTCTGCACTCCAGAACGCACGACCGGCTGGCAGCTGCTAGAGTCAGAGCCAGCACCTCCGGAGCTGCTGGTGGCCATGCAGGGCAGGGAGCTCCACTCCGGGGTCTTGGGATGTTTCTCCATGTGCTCAGAGGAATCCGAGCCCCCTTTTTCCAGTGACGGGGACTGCTGGGGCTGCCTGAGGCCATGCTCTGGTCAGTGGATGCTCTGGCTTCCAGGCAGCGGCTCTACCCTTTTCCGGCCTCCCAAAGCAGCAGGCAATTCAGCTTGTGCTCTGGGTGCCCAGGACCCAGATCCAGCTCATGACAGGCAGTGATGACCCAGGAGCCCCTTCCCTTCATCCCTAGTGAACTCTAAGATCAGAGCTGAGGCTTGGAGGGATTACATGATTTGTCTGGGGACACCAAAGGACAGAACAGGTACTTGGTCCATTTCTGCCAAGACAACCCCCCATTTCCCCTGGCCCCTGGGGAGTTGGGCCCAGTGCAGTTACTTCTGCTTTGTGCTGGAATCACTGAAGAGATTGGGGTACCGGAGGGCGATGCTGTTCCAGTCCATATCCTCCAACCGGAAACCCTGGTCAGAAAGTAAAAGCTGGAGGCTCTCCCCTCCTGCTGGGCTCCAGAATCCTGGTCAGGCATGTGGAGTCTTCACATGGGGGGGGGGGGGTCTTGCTCACCTCTCCAGCAGTGGGAGCCTCATTCTCAGAGAAGTCACTGGAATCCCTTAAAGTCTCTGCAGTAACCACCTGCAGGAAGGGAACACAGAGACTGAGGATTAGCTAAGTGGTAAAGCACTTGCCTAGAATGCACCAAGATCTGGATTCAATTCCCAGCACCCATCCCCCAAATGAAATGAGGAGCTGGGGGAAATCACCCCTTCCAGACAGTATTCCTCCCTCTTCGACCTCACCAGGGCAGGTTTGGTGGAAAAAACTGCAAGCCACAAGATTCTTCCCTGCAGAAGTAGCCTGAAAGGGGCAGGCTTTCAAGGCAAGCCAGAAGCACCAGCAGAGGCACCTGCCTGAAAGAGCCATACTGGCCACCCTAGGAAGTTCCAGGGACGGCTTGTGGGCCTTGGGCACTGGCTCACCTCCACACTGCCAGTTTGGGACGGGAGTACACGACCCACCCAGGAGGAGCAGGCCAACTGCAGGAGGCAGGACTTCTGGAAGGCCTGCAGCTGGGCTTGTAGTTGCTGCAGCATGCTGACAGTCTGCATCAGCTGCTCCTCTAAGTGCTCCTTCTCCTGCTCAGGAGCCACCAGGTTAGGGGCCTCTTGCAGCCCCGCCCCCCAGACCATGCCCTGCCTACTTCCTGACCCCACCCCCTCACCAGCTGGGCCTGTTCCTTCTGTGCTTTCAGCTCCTGGGTCAGCTTCTCCACCTGTTCCTGTAGAAACTTGTCTGGACTGTGGAAGCTCCTGGAGGAGGGGCAACTTCAGTAGCCCCACCTCTGGGTCAGCTGGGGTGAGGTCAGGTGAGCAGCAAATTAGGGGTCCCACTGCCATCATACCGAAGGCACACAGTGCAGCCAGCCAGAGCAGGGTAGGTAAGTCCTGACCCATCTGGACAGGGGTCAGTGGCTCAAGATTAGGGTTGTTAAGTTTATAGGACAGTAACATTCAGGGTTTGGGTGGAGCATCAGCTAGGTAAGGACTAGGGCCAGAGGCAAAAGTCCAGGTAAGAGTCGAAGTAGTGGTTGGAATCGGTGTAGGACAGAAACCAGGAGTTAGGACAGGACAGAGGTTGGGTTGGGCTGGTGGCTTTGCTGCTGACCTCTCAGATGGAAGTCCTGACACCTCCTGCAGGATGTGACAGTGCCGGGCATGTGGCCCATGTCGGATGGCCCACCGAAGCGCTTGGATCTCTAGTTCTCGCTGCCCCCACAGCAGCCGCAAGGTGCGGGGGTCCAGTGCTTCGGGGGCTAACCTGTAGTGCCAGTACCCCTGTTGATCAGGCCTGGCCCTCTCGTTGTTCCTGCCCAGAAAACTGGCCATCCCTCCCTTCCTCCTTACTGCAGGTGGACAGAGGCCAACCGTGTGGAGTGGGTCTTGGTGTTCTGGGGGCCTGGGGGAACCACTGTGTCTGTAGGTGTGTCAGTTGGAAGCCCCAAATCACCGCTGACTGGCTCTCCATCTGCTGGGGTTCGTGGCTCCTGCTTTTCTTCAGATTGCTGGCCAGACTCCGGGGCCATTCTTGATGTTTCTCAGGAGCTGGGAGAGGTAGTAGGGCTGAATGTGGCTTGTGTCCACTCTATAGGGCTCTCCTTGGGTCAAAGATGCCCAAGCAGCACTGCTGGTTCATAGATGTTCACACTCTGAGGAGGCTATGTGTGTCTACCCCACAGAATGAGGAACTGCTAGTCGTGTGGGTATCCTAATATGTGTTTCAGGCCAGGGAGCAGGTCACTCCCCAGACAACCTGTTTCCACATTCCCTGTTCCTCCTGTTTCCCTTGCCTAGAGCAAGAGTCAAAGGTTCTGGTCCTTTGCCTGTGACCCTCAGTTGTGTCCCCAACCATGAGCCTTGTGCCCAGCACTCACCTGAGGCCTGGGCTCCTAGCAGGCCTGGGGAGAGAGGATTCTCTACTGTTGCCATGGATACTGGCACTCAGAAGGGAGGGGCTGTTACCAGGAACCTCCAGGGAGAACCAGGTCTAAGGCCTCCATTGAGTTCTGGACTGGTCAACCTGGGGAATGTGAGAGGCTAAGCTGGGCAGGCCTGGGGGACCACGTAGGGCCCCCGCAGCCCCTCTCTAGCTGGTGGTGACTAGTGAGTAGTGGGGACTCTGGTGTCCTGGGGGGAGGCCAGTTTGGGTGTGATATATCCCGAGAGCACTGACTTGGAGGTGAAGGAATTGGGGATGGGGGATGAAAAGCCAGAGGAGGGGCTGTGACACAACTCTAGCCTGCAGAGGTACACCCTCCCTCCAGCCTCAGTGGCTGACACTTCCCTAACTCCCAAGCTGGAAGCCTCAGCTTCACAAGCATCTACACACAGACACACACAGATGGTCCCGCAGGACAAGTCAGGCCCAGAGGTGGGGCACCTATCACTAGAACCTTCAACCTCCCCTCCGGTGGGGCCTCCCCTGCTGAGCAAGGAAGGGAAAGGTAAAGCCCCCACGCAGCGACTGTCTGACTAGGGCAGAGTGGGTGGCCACCAGGTTGAGTCGCCCTGGCCAACACCTGGCATGGGTTCACCCAGCGGGACAGCAAGGGAGATATGGAAGAGCGGCTTCGAGCCTGCTTAACTGTGGGGGGAAGGCCTGGGCGCCCACAGCTCAGGAGGGCAGTGGGCCTCACTGCGGCCGGAAAGGAGCCTCAAACAAAGAGACCCAAGCCTTTGTCCCAGGCGGCCTCCTCCCGCACCAGAGCTAAAAAGCCCACCGGTCTGTCTGGCCCTCAGGTCTCCACCTCGTTCCCGCGCGGGCTCACACTCCCGTAACTCCAAATCCCAGGAGCTACCGGCCTCAAGGGAGCACGGTCCGAGTGGCCCGACCCCTTGAGGAGAGTCAAGGAAGGAAGGAGCGGCTCCGGCCCTTCTGCCCTGGGGCGCATTCCAAAGCTGTGCGATCCCAGGCCGCCGCCTCTCCCTGGAAGAGAACCTGCTACACCAGGAGGCCGAGGAGGAAGTCGGTCCGGGAGCTGGGCCTCACACCTGCCCGGACAGACCGCCCACGGATCCCGGCTGCGAACGCGCTTCCGCGTGGTTTGCGGGGCAGGGTGCGGTAGCGCCCGGGTCCCACCTCTCGCCCCGCCCACACCTGGGCGCCGCTGGGGCCGTGAGCCAATAGGGCGGGACGGGCGGAGGCAGCCAATAGGAGTGGGCGCGGGGCGGGAGGCACGCGCCGCGGAGCTAATGGGGGCACGGCGGGGCGGGGCGTTCGGGCTGCGAGCCAATGAAGCGGTGGGGCCGGGGCGCGCCGCGGCGCTGGGGCTGCAGGTTGCGGCGGCGCCGAACTACCGAGATCCCCGAGGCCGGCGAGCGCCCAGGTGAGCTCGCTGGGTTCCCGAGCCTCCCCATTGCCACGGGCCGGCCGAGGCGTCGGCTCTGGCTGAGGAATTTTCCGCGGGCTTCGGGAGAAGACTTATGAGAGCTGCGACGCACCTGCACCCACCCGCTTCGGAGCGGGGATGACGGGGTCCAGCGCGGCCGGCGTTCGCAGCAGGGGCGGGGCCTCCGGGGGAGCGTGCGGGCTAGGCCAGAGGGGCTGCTGGGGGCGTCCTGGGGGGCGGTGGGACCGAGGCCGAGTCTGGGTCACGGTGCTCAGCCTCTCTGGGCCCCGGGACGGCCCCTTCCGTGGGGAGGCGTTCCCATGGTAGCTGATGGCGTTATGTTTGCGTGGGGGCGCTCTTGGGTGCCTGGGGACAACCGCGGGAGGGAAGGGGCAGTGTCCTCTGAGCCAGGTGACGGGGGACAGGAAATCCTGGACCTGGTTAATGATTCGCCTCGTTCCGGGAGTGGGGGCGGGGCCCGAGGATACTTGCGAAGTGGGGATGTATTGAAGTGCTCACTAGAGCCAAACTAGTTCCCCCAGCCACCCTAGGAATGCGAGGCCTGAGGGTGGGGCTGGGTACAGAAGAGCATGGCCCTACACCAAGGGGCCACAGCTCTGAGCCAGCTATAGTGAAAGGCCAGGAGGAGGAGAGGAGGGCCAGGCTGTGGTCAGGCAGGACCTGATCCTGTGTTCTTCCTACAAGACAGGGATGTTCTTCGGGCTAGCAGCCATGGAACTGAAGGTGTGGGTGGATGGCATCCAGAGGGTGGTCTGTGGGGTCTCAGAACAGACCACCTGCCAGGAAGTGGTCATCGCACTAGCCCAAGCAATTGGTGAGTCTTCTGGGGGCAAACAGCCCAAAAGGTGGGACTGGGCTGGAGCCTAGTGGTCCAGCCCCATTTCTCCCTGAAGAAGGGTGGGGTTGGCTCTTGTTCCCTCTTGTCCTGCCCCAGTTCCTCAAGCCAGGTTGACAGAGACTAGGGAGACAGACTGACCCTCCCCTTTCCCCCCCAGGCCAGACAGGCCGCTTTGTGCTTGTGCAGCGGCTTAGGGAGAAGGAACGGCAGCTGCTGCCACAGGAGTGTCCAGTGGGTGCCCAGGCCACCTGTGGACAATTTGCCAGCGATGTCCAGTTTGTTCTGAGGAGGACAGGGCCCAGCCTGGCTGAGAGGCCCTCCTCAGACAGCTGTCCACCCCCAGAGCGATGCCCAGTTCGTGCCAGCCTCCCCCCAAAGCCACGGACAACACCAGGTCGTGAACCCCACAAAGCACTAACCTTTGGCCCGGGGTGTCCCAGACTGGCCCCTCGTCCTTCGTCCCCTGAGCCTGCAGTCCCTGTAGCACCCACATCAGGCTGCTTCACAGACCTTCAGGGCCTGGAGCTCAGGGTGCAGAGGAATGCTGAAGAGCTGGGCCATGAAGCCTTCTGGGAGCAGGAGCTACGGAGGGAACAAGCCCGGGAACGAGAGGGCCAGGCTCGCCTTCAGGCACTGAGTGCAGCCACTGCTGAGCATGCTGCCCAGCTACAGGCGCTGGATGCTCAGGCCCGTGCCCTGGAGGTTGAGCTGCGGTTGGCTGCAGAGGCCCCTGGGCCCCCATTGGCCACAGCGTCTGCAACTGAACGCCTGCGCCAGGACCTGGCCATTCAGGAACGGCAGAGTGTGGAGGTGCAGGGCAGCCTGGCCCTGGTGAGCCGCGCTTTGGAGGCTGCGGAGCATGCTCTGCAGGTGAGCCGAGGAGTCCCTGGCCCCTGTCGTTTCCCCACCCCCCAAACGTGTGGACTTGAGGGTCTGGCATCAGTCAGACTAGAAAGGGTAGTCTATGTGGGGGCACCAGAGTTATGCCCCCTGAGGATCCTTGTCCCCCCAGGCCCAGGCCCAGGAGCTGGAGGAGCTGAACCGGGAGCTCCGGCAGTGTAACCTGCAGCAGTTCATCCAGCAGACGGGGGCTGCACTGCCACTACCCCCAGATAGAGGTCCCTCTGGCACACAGGTCAGAGCAGTTCTAAAAGAGGCTGGGCAGTGGGGCCCACCCCACCCCCCAACTGACCTGATTTCTCCACAGAATCTTCTGTGTCCAGCCAGAGAGGAGCACCTCCAGGGAGCAAGCCAGGGCCCTGTCCTAGTGCCCAGCCTGAGTCCTGAGGGTATGTCTATTCCCCACTCTGGCAGGATGGGCCCTCCCCTGGTCTCAGCCTCCTCAGCCATTATCCTCCCACAGTTGTCCCCATGAGACAGAGTTCCTGGAGGTAACAGCCCCTGTCCCAGAGTGGTGCCTGCTGAGGACAAGCCAGATCAGCCAGCACAAGCCATTGGACAACAAGAGTCTGTGGTCACAGAAGATTCCTTCCCCATGGAGTGGGAAGCCCCAGTGTCCCAGGGTTTCTACTATGAGGGATGGAAGTGCTAGGGAGGGGTTGCCCTTGTCTTTGCCAAGTCTGCCAGGCCCCCTGGAGAAACTGGCAAGAAGTGGCCAGGCCCCAGAGTCCATTACTACTTGTTGAGGTTGGGAGATGTGTGTGGATAATGTGTTCGGCTTGTAGATGTGTGCTGCCAAAGGCAGTGTCCTTCACAATGGGTGTGCATTGCCTCCCCACCCTGACACTTAGACCTCAATAAACTGCCCAAAGTGGCCTGATTTTGTCCCGAAGCTCTGTTGGACCATGTCTGTGAGGTCTAGAACTTGAGGTGCAGACAGGAGCCATTACAGAAGATGCCACGCTACCTGGATAAAGTGCTTCAGGACCAAAGCTCAACAGGTTTCAAGGCTGGGGCTCCTGGGGCCCCTGGGGCCCACATTCTGACTGCTTTGCCCTGCCTACCCCTGAGAACTTTTGTGATTCCATGCCTGATGGAGCTTGCTGGCTCAGCCCTGGCCTGGGTTTCTGTCTGGATCCTTCTTCCACCTGGCTGCCACCAGTAGTAGGAACCCATGATGGCAGGATGTGTTAGACCTGCCTGTCAAGTTTACTGCCTCCTGGAGAACCCGTGGAGGAAGGTCCAGGACTCCTGGATTGGCCAGAGGAACTTAGCCAGCCCCAGGGAGGGTGTGGGCATTACATGGACAAGGCTTGTCCCGCTCCCAGGGTGGGCTTGAAGCTTCTGCTGTGAGTCTGTGGCTGTAAAATTAGGGAAGGGCAGATTCTATAACCCAGCTGCGGCCTAGGTCCTTGGGCTGTAGCCTCTCCCAGAGTCCTGGTCCTCGGGAGTGTGGCACACTCCCAGTTCCAAGGGCTGTGTTTGGGGTTGGAGATATTTGTGATAAGCAGAACTTGAGGGTGTCATGCAGGAAGCCTTGGGTAGTACTGGGGAATGGGATGGGGATACTGGATGACAGGAGTCTTTTGCTGGATCTGATGGGAGGACATGTTTGGATAGACTCAACTTTCTCCTGGGGTGGCTTCTGAGCTGAGTCCAGTGCTCCCCACTTCCTCTAAAGCAGACTGCAGGGGACATGGAAGTCTTGAGCTGGAGTAATAAATAAGCCACTCAGGGCCTTACAGAGGTCAGGGCCACCAGAAGCCCACTGATGTGGGGAGCAAGTGGGACTGGGTATTACCTGCCAGAGGCAGGGAGCAGGGAATTAATTGGAAGGCTCCCAACCTGGTGTCAGCAGGCCAGAATCCCCAGCCTACTGCTCCTATCTGCTCTCCCACCTGAGCCTGCTGCTGCCTGACCTGTGGGACCAAACACAGGGTCACAGGGGGTGATGCCCAGAGTGCAAAGGCCACTCTAGCTGCAGCCTGGGACCTGCTACCCACCCACCCCAGCCCCCTGCAAACACCCATACACTCAGGACGGTTGCATGCACTTTCGGGTATCAGTCTGAAGCCATCATGGTTCATCTCCCAAACTAACCCCACAGACCAACAGGAGGCAAGGCCAGGTGTCAACCAGAGACCACCCCATACACAGGGAGCTGGGGGTTGGGGGCTAGGCCATGTTCTCCCATGTCTAAGCTGTGTCCCCTTTCCCTGAGGGGAAGCAGGCACAAAGCCGGTGTACACCACCAGTTTCTGGTACTCTTCCAAGGACACCTGTCTCTCCTGAAGTCATTATCAGGCCCTGTCCATGGCCTGCAGCTCCTGGCCCTATAAAAGCTGCTAACTCCTCGTAACCACCAGACAGGTGCTGTGCTCTGGGATGGGAAAATGGGTTTAGCCCCCTTCCTTGGTGGCTATTCCAGGTGCACCAAACCCTACACTCCAAAACAGTTGTTTGAGTGCTTCAGATCACTAAGCAAAACTTTTGAATTGCTGAAAAGTTTAGTTTTAAGTTTCAAACTTTTACTTTGAAGACAATGCTAAAGTAAAGAAGGGTCAAGCTTCCTGGCAGGGCAAGATCCACACCAGCAGAGGCAGGCACCCACAGGTGTCCCTGTAGAATAGACAGTCAAGGCCATGCTCATGCTTGGGCAGTCTGGCAGGAGGGCAGAGCCAGGCCTTACTGGCCTCAGGGCTCCTGCTTACCCCCAGACCAGAAGTGGCCCCTAGCTACTGAGGGTCATGGTAGTATTGACCCCTGGCTCAGTGAAGAGGTAAGTGGCTGCTTGGTAGTAAGTCAGCTCTGCAGGTTCCTGGCCCAAGATCATACAGCCTCCTCTCACCTCCTGAGACTTCAAGGCATGGCACCACACTGGGAGCAGCACAGTGCCCTCCAAAGCCAATCACAGTCCTTGTGAGGTCTGGACCAAGCCTACTCCTCCTTCTCTGGTGACCTGGCTCCAGCCACAGCCATCAACCATCACGGCCCCCAGAGGAAAGGACAGGTGTCCAGACCAGGTGCTCTAGACACTCCTCAGCCAGATTTTCAGGGTGGATTGAGCCTACCCAGCAGAGAGGGACTCTCTGAGGGGCTGGGCCCCACAAAGAAGTCCACAGTCCTGACTGCCTCACTGAAATGGCAGAAATTTGCAGAAGAATCAAAGCTGCACTCCCTTTCCATAGGAAGTCCCCAGAGGCAGTTCCTGTAGGCCTGGGTCCTGTTGGCTGAAGATCACAACACCCCTGCTGCCCAGGGCTGTGCAGAGCTTGGACAGCTTGATGAAGGCTCCTGGGAACTCAGCATAGCCTGGTACCCTGGGACACAAGAGAAAGAAAGTTCCCTCCAAGAGGGTATCTGGCCCAATCTTCCATCTCCCACACACGGAGAATCCCCTGAGTGTCCCCCTTCCCTCCCCCACCATCCTTGCTGGGCTCTGACAGAAAAGCCTGTAGACGCAGTCCCCACCCAAGGGCCACCTGCCCTTTCCCCCCAGGGTGTAGGTGTGCACCCTCCAACCCTCATGTGATCAGGCCTGCCCGCTAGACCGAGGTCACCGAGGGGGCCAGGGTTTCGCGCTGCCCAGAGACAGATCAGCCGCTGTCACACGCACAGTGGGTCCGGAGCAGCGCAGTGTGCGGTGGGCAGTGGCTGCCCTGCGCCTGGAGGGACAGTCCAGTGGGCGGGCGAGTGGAGGGGTCGCCCCCCGCCCCCTCCAACTTGGGCATCCTAGCCACGCTGCCTCTGCCTCGCCCGATACCCGAATTCCCCAGGGGAGGGCAGCCTCCGAGGTGAGCCCCGCCCGCCAGCCTGGGACCCCTCGTGCGTCACCTGAGACCCCGGCACTGGGCCGTCGCGGACTCTCTACCAACTTCAGCGGCAGCCACAGCTACCCTCGCGCCCCCGGCGGAGCCCCGCCGGGGCCCCGCCGCCCCGCCCCATATGCAAAACACCTATCCTATAGCCAATGGTCGGCCAAGCCGGGCCCGCCCTGCCGCGCCACAGCCAGTGGGCGCCAGGGGGGCGCAGCGCGCCCCGCCCACCGCCGCGCGGTCCTCCGGGGGCGAGGCCGGCGCGTTCTTTTCTGCACGTCGGCCTGGGGAGGGGCTGCCACCTGCCAGGCGGGGCGTCGCGGGGTGGCCTAGTCGGGAGGCATCCCCCGCTGGCAGGACGCGTGGTACGGCCCAGGCGGTCCCCCTCCCGCACGCGTTGGTACAGCCCGGGTTCTCCTGGCGTTTGGGCCCCGGGCTGGGGGCGCTGCCTGGTGGTTCTGTCTTTCGCCCGCCCAATGCGGTGGATAGTGGGGCAAGGCGGGCCCCTTGTGGAGGGACCTCCTGCAAGCCAGAGGCTGCCCCCGTCACACACACCCCGTGCAGTATTACTGCCTGGCCGATTCGGGGCTCTCCCCGTCAGAGGTCCACCCCTCTCGGAGAACCCAGAGCGTACATAGCCTGGGCTGTGACCCGGGAGGCGCCTGGACGCGCCCTGACTCTGCGCCCTCGGAACGCTTGTCCTGCCTGCGCCGCCCTTTGCCAACTCCTGGGAGGCCTGGGAGCCCCCAAGGACAAGCAATTCAGTCTGCCTTCCAGGAGGGAGCGCCAGCTCTGTCTGGTTTGGTTTTTCAGATGACCCCCGACGGGGGCAGTCCCGGCGACTCCTGGGGACTCCGGGTCCCTCCCGTGGGATCTATCGCCAAGGAAACCTCCAGAAGAGTCCGAGCCTGAAGGGGACATCTCGAGGGGTGCTGGGCTCTCAGTGGGCTTTTCCCTGTCTTTTCCAGGGACACAGAAGAGTACTTGCTGGGCACTCAAAAGGTCTAAGGGAGCAGACTGTCACCTACCCAAAGACACACAGGGCCAGCTGCTGCAGCAGAGCCCCAAGGTAGCGGCCAAGAGAGACTTGGCCCTTCTCTGCTCAGTCCGCCCCTACCATGGCCTAGGCGGTTCCTGAGGTGGAATCATGGGCTATCCAGGACCCCTGATCTAGCAGGCAGATGCCTGCTCTACTTTTGCTCCTAAGGCAGGGGTCCTCATAAGCTCTTTGTTTTCCTGTCTCCCTCAACCAAACAGCACCTGCCACACAGGCCTCAGAGCCTGGCCCTCCCTGCTGTAGGCTCAGCTAATGCCCCTTTATCCTCACATCACTCAGGTCCTTGACTCAGGGACCAGCCCACTCAGACTCAGCCACCTGCTCCTAAACCCACTGCCCCACTCTTTGTTCTCCCTCCTTCCACTGCCCCCTGCACAGGCTGGGCTGCAGCCTGTCACCTGCCACCCAAGGAGGTGTCTGACCCAGCCCAGACCTGGGAGCGTGGATAGTGGAGACGAATTTAAGCTTAGTGTGGTGAGGTGCGATCATTCACAGATGGGAGAAGAGCAGGGGTCAACTCAGTTCCACTCCCACCAAAAATTGAGAGACCATCACCAGGCACCCTAGCACACACTTATAATCCCAGTGGCTAGAGAGGCTGAGGCAGGAGAATTGTAAATTCAAAGCCAGCCTCAGCAATTTAGTGAGGCCCTGTCTCTAAATAAAATATGAAAAAGGGATGGGGATGTGGCTCGGTGGTTGGATGCCCCTGGGTTAAATCCCTTTACCAAAAAGAAAAAAGAACAAAGAGAAAAATTGAGAAATCCACAAGGTTTGGATTACATGAGTCTTGAAGGAACTCCTAGGAACCACTGGGATCCCTGAGGAGGCCCATATCTTCAGAGCAGAACACAAGTTGAGGGAAGAAGTCAGGAACTAGAGGACAGGGAAAAATCGAGTGCCTGACTGCCTCCTTCACCTTATCCCCAGTCCTGCCAATCTAAAATGCACCTCCTTTCACCATCCATAGTGGGCTGAATGGTGTCCCCCTAAAAAAAGTTATATCCACATCCTGAAATC